CCCCGCCCCGCCCCGCCCCGCCCTCGGACAGGTTCTCAGGCCCCGCCTCCTTCAGGCCCCTTTCCGCCTCCCGGGTTGCTCCCCAGGCACCATTCCCTGCAGCCCCTCCGCGCGTACGCGCCCAGGCCCCGCCTCCTTCGGTTACTTCCGCTGGATCACCTGGGACGCTTGCAGAAGGCCCAGGTTTCGGGCCTTTGCCGAGGGGGTTCTGCTTCCGTGGGTCTGAATGAACTTGGGACTCAACTTGAGACTCTAAGGCAGACTTAGGAACCTGTTCCGGACCCTCCTGTTCCTAGGACAGTCCGCATCCCCTCCACCGCCTGGCGGGTGCCGCCCTGGGCTGCGACCTCGGAGGGCCTGATAGTCACACACAGGCACCTGTGTCTCCCAGTATCTGGGCTAGGCATTAACACAGCTCTGTCTGTTTGTTTGTTTTTTTTTTAATAAATTAATTAATTTATTTTTGGCTGCATTGGGTCTTCGTTGCTGCACGCGGGCTTTCTCTAGTTGTGGAGAGCGGGGGTTACTCTTCGTTTCGGTGCGGGGACTTCTCATGGCGGTGGCTTCTCTTTGTTGCCCAGCATGGGCTCTAGGTGCGCGGGCTTCAGTTATTGTGGCTCGCGGGCTCAGTAGTTGTGGCTTGCGGGCTATAGAGCACAGGCTCAGTAAGTTGTAGCGCACGGGCTTAGTTGTTCTGCAGCATGTGAACCCGTGTCCCCTGCATTGGTAGGCGGATTCTTAACCACTGCGCCACCAGGGAAGTCCCACAGCTCTGTCTTTAAACAAAAAAAAACGATTGGTCCAGATACCAGGAAGGTTTGTGGTTGCGACCAACTGGTGTTGGAAAAGTACTGCTTCCAGGTACAAGGAGAGTTGGAGCAGTGGAGGTGCTGCTTAGGTGAGAGGAAATACAAATGAGTTACTTAGATCCTTGGCGCGCAACTGATCCAGCATAAGGAAGCGACAGTTGGTAGTAGTGAGGACCATCCCTACTCTTGCTTCTCTTCTGTAGCAATCACGCTGCGGGGACAGAATAGACCCCACAAAAAATTTGGTTGTGATGTGGACTTTTGATGCCACACACACCAAGAAGGTATGAAAAGATTTACTACTTACATAAGGAGGCTTTTCTGGGGACAGCAGGGCAGCCCTCTGAAAATGGCTTGAGAAAGCAGGCAAAAAAGACTAGATTGGGCTTTGATCATGGTTGGGGGTGGGCCAGGTTGACGGTTCCCACTTGCAGGCAGGGACTTGGAGGGGGCACCCAGCCTTTCCCATCTGCTTGCCCAGATGTGGGGCAAAGGGAAGAGCGATAGGTGAGGCTTGAAAGCTACCAGCACTCAAAGGTCTAAGAATGCAGACTGTTACATCTTCATGCTGCAGTTCGTGGCTTCAGAGACCCTCACAAATTCCTGTAGTATTCACAATATTTGTACATTCTGCATTATCAAGGAATTCATGTTCCTCATAAGCATGTACATTTGTAGGTCTAGACATTGCACGCACTCAGCCTGATACTGATTTTTTACCTTGGCAACTAGACGGACACTGAACCCTCGAATTGCGAATGTTTTATTTTTATAAACATATTTAATGAAAATTAAATTTTCAAAAAATTAAATGTCAACATTTCAGCTTTAAATTTCAAGATCAGGGGAAACCGATCTATGGTGAAGATAATGAGAGCAGTGTTTGTGTCTTTAGGATTCGGGGGGCATCGGCTGGGCAGAGCCTTTAGGGAATTTTCTGGGGTGATGGTGATGCTCCTTACGTACATCGGGGTTTGAGTGACGCAAGGGTCTGCGTATGTCAAAGTTCACGCAAGGGTACACGTAAGACGTGCATTTCACTGTATAAATTTTACCTAAAAATGTCTCCTCTAACTATATTGAACTCTAGTTAGTGATCTGCATGCTGAACTATTTCGGAGTGAATTTTACTAATGTCTGCAACTTACTTTGAAATGCACCAAAAAATAAGATGAATGGGTAGACAGAACAGGTATGCAGATGAATAGAATAAATGCATGATAAAGAAATATAGCACGACAGTAACAGTAGAAACGGGATACTGGGTACATGAGTGGTCACTGTACAATTTTTTCAAATGTATTGTTTAAAATAGTTATAATTGGGCTTCCCTGGTGGCGCAGTGGTTAAGAGTCCGCCTGCCAATGCAGGGGATACGGGTTCGTGCCCCGGTCCGGGAAGATCCCACATGCCGCGGAGCGGCTGGGCCCGTGAGCCATGGCCGCTGAGCCTGCGCGTCTGGAGCCTGTGCTCTGCAACGGGAGAGGCCACAACAGTGAGAGGCCCGCGTACAGAAAAAATAAATAAATAAATAAATAAATAAATAAATAAAATAGTTATAATTAAATATGGACATTTTTCACTTATATAATTTTTACAATTTATTTATTTATTTTATTTTTGGCTGAGTTGGGTCTTTGTTGCTGCGTGCGGGCTTTCTCTAGTTGCAGTGAGCGGGGGCTACTCTTCGTTGCGGTGCGTGGGCTTCTCATTGCAGTGGCTTCTCTTGTTGCAGAGCATGGGCTCTAGTAGGCACGCGGGCTTCAGAGGTTGTGGCGCACAGGCTCAGTAGTTGTGGCGCATGGGCTTAGTTGCTCCATGGCATGTGGCATCTTCGCGGACCAGGGATCGAACCTGTGTCCCTTGCATTGGCAGGTGGATACTTAACCACTGCACCACCAGGGAAGCCCTGTATAATTTTTTATTATACATCTTTATACTCATTAAGTATAACTTATGTTTTGTTTTTTTGTTTTGTTTGTTTTTGTTTTTGTTTTTGTTTGCGGTACGCGGACCTCTCACTGTTGTGGCCTCTCCCGTTGCGGAGCACAGGCTCCAGACGCACAGGCTCAGCGGCCATGGCTCACGGGCCCAGCCGCTCTGCGGCATGTGGGATCTTCCCGGACCGGGGCACGAACCCATGTTCCCTGCATCGGCAGGCGGACTCTCAACCACTGCGCCACCAGCGAAGCCCTATGTTTTGTTTTTTTAACTTCAACCTTTTATTTTGAAATAATTTTAGACTCACAAGAATTTGCAAAGTACTACAGAGAGGTCCCATGTTCTTTTCATTCAGCTTTTCCAAAAAAAAAAAAAAAAAATCTTACATTGTCAAAACCAGGAAATTGAGGATGGTATTAACTCATGTACAGACCTTAGCCGATTTCATCAGTTTTGCACACACTCTTTATTTTGGGAGGGGGTGTGTAGTTTTTTGAAATTTTGTCACATGTATGGTTTCTTGTAACCACCACCATAATCAGGGCACAGCCCTGCTCCATCACCACAAAGAAACGCCCTTACGGTGCTTCTGCATAGTCACACCTCCCCACAACTCTAACTCCTGGGAACCAGCCTGGTTCTACGATGTCATCACCGCAAGAGTGTCGTATAACTGGAACCATACAGTATGCAGCGTTTTGAGACTGGCTTTTGCACCCAGTATAATGCCCTGTAATCCGCCCACGTTGCATCAACAGTTTGTTCTTTTTGGTTGCAGAGTTGTTTCCCACGGTGTGGTTGGACCTGGGTTTGTTCATTCACCTGTTGAAGGACAGTTGGCAGTTGTGAATAAAGCTGCTATGAACATTCAGGTGCAGGCTTTTGTGTGAACATACCTTTTTTTATTTTTGTAGGATAAATACCCAATAAATGCAATTGCTGGGTCATGTGGCAAGTATATGATTAACTTTACAAAAAACTGCCTAACTCTTTTCTAGAGTTCTTTTTTATGTTCCCACCAGCAACGTAGGACTGATCCACTCCCTTAGCAGCATTTAGTGTTATCACTATTTGTATTTAATTTTAGCCATTCTGAGAGATGTGTTCTGACAGATATTTCATTATGGGTTTAACTTGCACTTTCCTTTATGGCTAATGGTGTTGAATATCTTTTAATGTGCTTATTTGCCATCTGTATATATATATTTCGGTGAACTGTGTGTTCAAATCTTTTATCCATTTTCTAATTGAATTATTTGTTTTCTTACTATTAAGTTTAGGGAATTCGTCATATATTCCAGATACAAATACGTTGTCAGATATGTGATTTGCAAATATTTTCTCCCAGTCTGCAGCTTGCCTTTTCATCCCCTTAAGAGAATTTTTTTTTAGTTAATTAATTAATTTATTTTGGCTGTGCCGGGTCTTAGCTGCGGCATGTGTGATCTTTTGTTGTGGCATGTGGACTTCTTAGCTGTGGCAATGCAGGATTGAACCTGGGCCCCCTGCGTTAGGAGCGTGGAGTCTTACCCACTGGACCACCAAGGAAGTCCCCTCTTAAGAGAATTTTTTGAAGACCACAAAGATCTGTGGGTTGTGCAGGGGAAGTTGAGCAGTGGAGGCACTTAGGTATGAAAAAAGATAAATTAACTAATGGGTCAGATCTTTCTTGCTGTTCTTCCCGTTCCAATCTATGATTCCAGCAGTACTCAGGAATTAGTGCAGTACTTGCAATAGTGGCTGAGAAATATTTTGTAGTATTAATTCACACTTCTCTTGAATTTGCATATAGGTTGGTCTAGATGAAACACTTATTTAACTTAAGGAAAGGACTGAAAAAAAGAAACTTACCGTTTTAGGCATTGATTTAAAAAATTACCAAGGGCAAGTAGGTGCTACTGGCACTGACATGGTTAGAGAAGGTAAAGGTGTGTAGAAGTCAGACTTTTGGCCAAAAATCTAGAAGCATTTTTTTGTGTTATGTGTCATGTCACTGGGAGACCTGACCTCAATTGTGCTGATCGTGATAACATTCTCTGGAACAATCAAAAGATTATATACAAGATTTTCTGGATTTGCCCAAAGATGAAACATCTTGGAAAAACACGTCACATATGACCTTGTAGCTGCCCTTGGACATGTGATGGGAATGCTAAGTGCTTTAAAGAAAGTAGATTTAATTCTAGAAGAACCTAAAAAGTTAAGCAAAACAACGTAACGTTCTCAAATAAAGAGCAAATCTTGGTCTTGAGTAGAAAATGAAATTTCTCTTGACTTTGCGCCACCCACAGGTATTTGAGAGGGGCTGTTGCTTATTAATAATACTGACGAAAGTTTAACAACAAAAAAATACAAGTTTGGCTGTTTTACTTTTCTTTTTTTTTTAAACAATTTATGAGCCGACATTGATACGTTATTATTAATTGAAGTCTCCATTGAATTGCTTTTGGACCTTTGTCAAAAGTCCTCTGGGTATATTTGTGTGGGATATGTGCCTGGTTCTTTATTCTGATCCATAGACCTAGGTGTCTATCCCCCCACCAATGCCACACTGTCCTGATTACAGCAGCAATATTGTAGGTCTTAATATCAGGTGGTGGTCCTTCCATTTTATTCTTCTTTTTTGTTGTAGTTTATCTTATGACAGGGCCGAAAGTAAGCTCATCACATGAGATGAATTGTGCCAAAGCACAGCAGTAGAGGGCTGCCGCTCGCTCAGGCAAAAGAGCGCCGTCTGTCCTGCTGTGGTAGCTTTTATTAAAGCATTATCTAGGTTTACATTTTAAGACTTGTTTTCTTAACACTTCAGAAATGCCAAAGCAGCAACCTATGTTTTTATTGATTATACAAGCAATAACTGGCTTTCTTGAAAACATGCCGTGCTTCGTCCTTGAGCGCAAAAGCTGCACAAAGTTTCCACCATTATTTTGATTATACTGAAGTTGCACAAGGACATTGCCTTGTGTTCCCACCATATTGATTATACTGAGGACATTCTCATGGATCAGTGCCCAAAGCACTCAATGCTTTTTCGCAGGCCCCCGGTTTGCCGGGGGAGGTGGGGGGGCTCAAAGCATTCAGGACTGTTTACAGTTCTGGCTTATTCGCATGCCCCAGGTTTGTCGGGGGGGCTCAAAGCAATCAGGACTGCTTGCAGTTCTGGCTTATTTGCCAGCCCCCAGTTTGTTGGGGGGGGGGGGAGGCTCATGGGTCACGTCTCCTTTCCATGTCCTCAGTTATTCCACTACACTTTTCAAGAATTTTTAAGCTATTCTAGAATAAGCTTATCTGTGTCTACTAAAATTCTTTCTGGAATTTCGATAGGAATTGCAGTAAACCTTTAGATTAATTCGGGGAAAATTAACATTTTTACTATGTTGAGTCTTCCAATCCATGAATACGATAATGTCTCCATTTATTTAGTTCTTCTTTGATCTCTTTCATCAGCATCTTTTTTCTTTTCTTTCTTTTTTTTTTTTGGCAGTACGCGGGCTTCACTGTTGTGGCCTCTTCCGTTGCGGAGCACAGGCTCCGGACGCGCAGGCTCAGCGGCCATGGCTCACAGGCCCAGCCGCTCCGCGGTACGTGGGATCCTCCCGGACCGGGGCACGAACCCGTGTCCCCTGCATCGGCAGGCGGACTCTCAACCACTGCGCCACCAGGGAAGCCCTCTTCAGCATCTTTTAATTTGCAGCATACAGATCTTGTCCATGTTTTGTTAAGAGACATCCCTCTCCCTCTCAGGCCTCCTCCTCCAAGAAGCTTTCCCTGCTGTGCAGAGAGGTGTGTGTGTGTGCTCCGGGTGGCGGCCAGGAGCACTTCCTCAGGGCCCAGGGCCCCTCTTTGGCACTGCTTATTTTAATGACCTCCTTGCTTGCTCCTTGCATCTCACCCCCTGACAGAGCTGGTGCTTGTGAATACTGCCCTTCCCCAGGTCCAGCTGGATCGTGTTTTGCTCGGCTTTGGGTTTGGAAATTGGAGGCATGCTCTTCCACCCGGGGGTGGGGGGCGGGGGCGGGAATCAGCGGGATTTCCCGCGACTGTCCCCAGCGGCCATTCC